ATTTATACGTTCAAGTTTTATAACTCTGATATTAAACTACAACTAAACAAGTGTCAAAGTTTCAAAAAGAGCAATAAACAACATTTAAATTCGCCATTCAATCTTGTGAAATTTTAAACAACAAATAATAATTCTTATCTGAGATTAAAATTGGACATCAGACAATTTATGATGGCAGCAAATGCTTTGATATAAATATAAATATGAACAAAATATTAAAATATTTACGTGGTAGAAATAACTAGCAAAAGCTATAAAAACAATAAAGGTCTGGTGTGAAGTAAAACTTGTGCAGACAAAAATATTACATGAGGTTAGGAACTGCAGAGCATGAAAATTTACGTTCAATTTAAATTGTACAGCAGAGGAGATTACTGAGGCTAAAATCGTGAGAAATTGCATGAGGTGAAAAATTGCAAAGCTAACAAAATTACGTGAGCTCAATATTTGCCACACTTTATCAATGATTCAAACAAAGAATTTACATGTTGTTAAATTATGCCATACTTTATCAACGATTCAAACAAAGAATTTACATGATATTAAATTATGCCATGATCCAAGTGACTGGTTACTTAAAACAATTAGCTTTGAGAGTTTATATCGTGAACTGCCCCAGCTTATCTCAAACAAACACATGATGAAAGGACTCCCTCGTCGCGAGAAATACGTCTCGATAATGAGATGTCTAGGTCCAGATGACAACTGCCTAAGGGGAGAAAAATTAATCCCCCCCCCCGTCCTTCAGTCTACGATATTATGAATTCTACCGCACTTTCCACGGTCCTTTTCCCAGAATGGGACAACGTTAGGTTGATTTAACTACTGTAAATGAACTATTAGCAATCTTATGTGAGGAATTAAGAAGTGTTATAATGTAACACTTAAGTATAAGCATCCAGAAACATGTTAAACAAAGGATGAGTCTTGATAAAGTGAATGTAATGAAATCTCCTAGCACGTTGTTTATCCGAACAATCTCATGACTGTTAAATTGTGTTATAATCAGTAACGATTAAAATCTTAACATGAACTGCGTGCTGTCACTCACACCAAAAGCAAAACAAAACAACAGTGACGCTTTTCAACCCTCTAGCGAGTAAGCCAACTTCTACCAACCCTCTCACTAGATGCTACCAACAAATTCCCCTAGAAGAGCTACCAACTACCAGAAAAAGACTAAATTTGCAGATGGTTGCCTATGTTTAACGATTTTCTTGATTTTAATCCCCGAGCGTAAGCAAAGGAAGTATTGTAATCGAGTCCGTCGGTCGACTCTCTACTTTTACGTTTTCTCGATCTTTCATGACCCCTAGAATACGAAGAAATAGGTCTCCCATTTCTGTCTGTCTGTCCGTCCGTCTGTCCGTCCGTCTGTCCGTCAGATAATCTCCGAAAGTACTGGACCGATTGTTGTGAAATTTTGTACTTACATTAGGAATATCATGTAGATGGTAAAACCCTAACCAAAATTTGTCTAATCATCCCCACCACTAATGCGATGACGTCACTTCAAAATTGTACATAGTAAATGGGTCTTAAATTGTATAAAATAACATAGTCCTACACATGTAGTTTACGACTCCGAATTCAGTTTTTACCCAAAACGTCCAGATTTTTGTAAAAAAAATCAAAATCATAAAACAACATTTTGCAATTTAATTTTGAATCTGCTAACCCGAATGTTTTAAAATGTTGCAGATGTTTTAAGGCTCTAAAGAGCATCATAAATCTTTAGTCAAAATATATTTGGTTATCCCCTCCAAAAACTTGATGACGTCAGCTCAAAAGTTTGCCGAATAAATCCTATCTAAAATGTACAAAATATGATCAGTCTGTACTTGTGATCTATCACTCCATTCATATTTTTTGGATTTGCATATACAGGTGACTCAAAAAAATTAATGAATGCGCAAAATTTATTTTACTGATTTCCTCAGGAACTACAAAACCGAATGCTCTGAAATCTTGCAGATGGTTTAAGGTCATAAAGAGCATAATAAATGTTTAGTCAAAATATATTTGCTTATCCCCTCCAAAAACTTGATGACGTCAGCTCGAAAGTTTGCCGAATAAATCATATCTAAAATGTGCAAAATATGATGGGTCTGTACTTGTCATTTATCACTCCATTCATATTTTTTGGATTTGCATATACAGAGTGACTCAAAAAAATTAATGAATGCGTAAATATATTTTATTGATTTAATCAGGAACTACAAAACGGAATGCTCTGACATGTTGCAAATGTTTTAAGGTTATAAAGAGCATAATAAATGTTTAGTCAAAATATATTTGCTTATCCCCTCCAAAAACTTGATGACGTCAGCTCGAAAATTTGCCGAATAAATCATATCTAAAATGTACAAAATATGATCAGTCTGTACTTGTGATCTATCACTCCATTCATATTTTTTGGATTTGCATATACAGGGTGATTCAAAAAAATAAATGAAAGCGTAAATTTATTTAACTGATTTACTCAGGAACTGCAAAACCGAATGCTTCGAAATCTTGAAGATATTTTAAAATTATCATAAGCATGGTAAATTTTTGATCAAAATGTATTTGGTCGTCCCCCCTAAAAAATTTATGACGTCACCACAAAATTTTGCTGAATAAATCCTATCTAAAATGTACAAAATATGGTGAGTCTCTTCTTGTGATTTATCATTCCATTCAAATTTTTTCGATTTGCATATACAGGGTGACTCAAAAAAATTATTGAATGCGTAAATGTATTTTATTGATTTAATCAGGAACTACAAAAGCGAATGCTTTGAAATCTTGCAGATGTTTTAAGGTTATAAAGAGCATAATAAATTTTTAGTCAAAATATATTTGCTATCTTCTACAAAAAACTGATGACGTCAGCTCAAAAGTTTGCCGAATAAATCGTATCTAAAATGTACAAAATTTGATGAGTCTGTACTTGTGATTTATGATTCCATTCATATTTTTGGATTTGCATATGCAGGGTGACTCAAAAAAATTAATGAAGGCGTGAATTTATTTTATCGATTTAATCAGGAATTACAAAACCGAATGCTTTGAAATCTTGGGAATATTTTAAAGTTATTATAAGCATGGTAAACTTTTGTTCAAAATGTATTTGTTCATCCCTCCTAAAAAAATTGATGACGTCACCCTTAAATTTTGCTGAATAAATCCTATCTAAAATGCAAAAAATATGATGAGTTTGTACTTGTGATTTATCATTCCATTCATATTTTTTAGATTTTCTTAAGAGGTGGTTCAAAAAAATTAATGAAGTCAATTTATTTTATTGATTAAATTAAAGGCAACACTTATTATTAGTATTACACCCCAACCAACCCAATTTGGTAGACACAAAATTTGTTAAAGGAAAAACTCGGTTGAAACATAAGGGTAGCACGCTTATTTACATCGACTTTAACATTACAGACCTGCATTTGTTTTATGCGCTCACTTGGTTCCGCGAATGTAGAATAGACATGTTTATAATCAACCAATTGTGAATTTCACCGTCAAGAATTAAAATAAAACCCAATGTTTTATATAATAAGCGGAAGTCGAAGCAATAAACCCGATGGTCGTTTTGTTTACAGTTTCTCTGTTTGACTCTCACGTATGCTGTTACGCTTGTCATCTTAAATTAAGAATGTTTATACATAAACGATTTTCAGTTGCCCCTCATATTACTAAACAGCGGATTTCTGTCGGGCTACGTCACGATTATAGGGGGGGACGTGCTGGATCGCCGGGTGATAGATAATATAATCACTGAATTTAATCGGTACTAATTAACGATTTATTAATCAAACGGCTAAGTAAATGAGAACGGGAATTAACAGCAGAGTGCAACGAAACAGCGTTATTCTAATCTCAAATAAACGAAGTGCAGTCCGCAACCGCAATGAATTCGAATCCCGTACGAGCCGTACCGAGTTTGGCCTTGCCTAGCCCGACAGAAATCCGCTCTCTAGATATTACACACCGGCTCCGTATACGTGAGTAAATTGTTTCGTTATTTTATTGATTATAAGAAATCAATATTCAAAACGACCCAATTCATTTTCCCGAAAATTTGGGAATACAATAATTTTATTCTTAGTATTACACTACATCTATCCCAACTGATATACGTGTCCTTGCAAAAATGTTGATGACGTCATCACATTTTTTTTTAAATTCCCACTACAAAAATGTAATGAGAAAAAAAAACACAATAGGCATGCAGTCGTCAAGTTTCCGACAGCGAGGGAAGTACTGTCTAAACTTTTTAGACCAATTTTTTTTTTTTCAAATTCAAATTATTCAAATGCGATTTCGCGCCGTTGTTTTGTCAATTTGTCCTAACAAATGTTAAATTGTAAACTTCATAGATAAAGCCGCGTTCATGTGGAACGCACAGCTTGGCCTAATAACTAGTTATTTTGCGAAGACGGGATATAAAGTATAATATACGGCAGGTTTTTTGGACATACAAATGTAGTGTATGTGTTATAGCTAGGAGAAACTTAAATTTAGCTGTCGTTACGACGTCCTCTATATCACGTTCGCTGATTTCTTCTGCCATAATTTAAATTTGCCGTCACACCATCGTAATGTCTTAAATATATTTATCACCCGTTAACTTATAAGTAATCAAGAAAAAATCTTCCAGCAACCACTGAAATTTAAATGTTGCAAAATTATGTTGGCAACACCGACACGTTCCAAATAACTGTCAAACAGCTGAAGTACCAACATCATTAATTTAAAAAAAAATTCCATAACTTTTTCTATCATGTGGTATGGCCAATTTGAATATCTATTTTATCATTTTCCTTGTATGTTATCTTAAGTGATGTGAAATTTAAAATATTTGTTCAATCAAGATCCCTTTCTTCTATTGTTTCAGCGTTAAAACAAGTAGGTACTCACCGCATTAAGTAATTTTTAATTAACAACAATTTAAACAAAATCAAGATAATAGATTCTTGTAACAGCTGACGTTTGTACAGCCTGCACATATTTTCAACAATATATACATATTTAAAAAAATGTTGGGTTAAGTAATTTTATAAAAATGCTAATAACCCAACTACGACTTTCTTGCTTAGGACGGCAGAATACTTTTTCTTTTCTCGCCGTCACCACTAGCAACTGCTTTCGTCTTCCTGCCCACCACACAAGTCCTTATACCCATCGCCATAAAAACCAACGAAATCGCCAAATGGTATCCTCCATACACCACATACTGTCCTCGCGGTTCCAACGCGAATCCGATACCTTCAGTAGCCACAACTTCCGTCAAAATCGAATTAAAAACCAAAGACACAAACATGTTAATACCAAAAATCAACCCATAACTGTCTTCGTCTATCCGTTTCGCGATTTCAGCACTGGCAATCGTTATCATAAAATGATACAAAATACCAAACACTATGTAGAAGCCGTAGCACAAAAACAAGTACTCAGTTTGTGAAACGACAACAACCAGTGCACCCTGAATCAACGAAAAAATTCCAAGGGTGAGTTCACCTTTGATCTCCCAATCGAATTTGAGATAGCCGGCTAGAAGGGCCGCCAGAAAACCGAGAAGGGTTATTATGGCTTCAACCGCGCCGTTGTAGATGTTGGAGTCGTCTGCTTGGATAGTCTCGTAGAGGGGCTGAAGATAAGCTTCCACCTGAACGTAGCCGCAAGTGGAAAGGGCCCACCAAACTGACCATTTCAACACGTTCATGTTAGTAAAGGCGTTAATAAAGTGAGTACGCATTAACTTAAAAGCTGACTTGGTCTTTTTGGAAAGTGGCTGCTTTTTGGAATCATCGGAATGAAAGTAGAGGCTTTGGCTGACAGGCGGGAGGAAAAAAGCCCATATTGTTGCAGCACTAACACCTGAAAAAATCAGTGTAAATAGTGATTTGTATTTATGACCCTCTACAACATGTGTACTTACTTGCCAAGGATATGTAGTTTAGTTGCTCATAATCTAAGACGTTCGTGGAAATAACCACCTGTCCTACGACTCCAGACATCGAGCGACCGGCCAGAATGGCTCCTCTTGTATGAGAAGTTACCTTTTGGTAGTGCTCCTTATCCACTTTTGCATAAATATATGAATAATAAGCGACTTCTGAGGCACGAAATAGCCCATATATTGTCTGTTTCAACAAAAATATTTACGATATTATCATACATATACATATACAATTTACAAACTTACTTCCAGAATCATAAGTCCGGCAAAGTCATGAGTCCATACGAGCAGAGACCAAAGGACTATTCCTGATAATCCGAGGAGTATGATTAAAGGTTTGTATCTGCATATGTCTGTTATCAAAAATAATATTACTAAGCAAACTAAGTTGCTGTAGGTTCCTAGGGGATAAGCTTCTTTGAGTATTTGATCTTCTGTTAGATCTTTCGTAGGACCGATTAGAAATTCGTAGTAGAATGGTTCCGAGGGGCGCATTTCTTTGAGGAAACCGAAGAGGCAGAGAAGTAGTGAGATTTTCATCCATTGTTCCATAATTTATGGGTTAATCTATAATCCAAGGTATAGAAAATCTTCGTTTCTAGGGACCACTGAAATTTAATGTAAAAAGATTATGTTGGTAACATCAACGCGTTCCTTGTTCGGTTTGACAATCAAATACCTGTCAAACAGCAGCAATGCCGACATTATTATTTTAAAAATAAATTTCATTGCCTACTAGACGTTTTTTTTCTTTTCGGTCATACGTTATTTACGTTACGTGGCCACAAACTTAACCAACTTGAATATATGTTTTGTCATATTCCTTGCATGTTATCTTAAATTATGTGAAATTTAAAATGTTCTATTTTAATAAATTAATGATAGTATTTTACTTACAACTGGAAGTGTGCAATAATAAAAATAATTACTTACCTTTAAACAACAACGTGGTCAATGAAGCTCACAATTGTCTGAATACTTGGAGACTAATGAAGAGATAAAAAAAAGATAGAGTGAGGAACTGCATTGTTCTTAGATAAATTGCCATGCTTAACTACAATCAAGGTAATAAATAGATAGATGTCTTAAATTTCTTGAAAATGGTACGGATTTCTGTAAGAAAATAATAATAAAAGAAACGAAACTTGTTTATCTAAATGTTTTTAATATTTTTTTTACACTAGCTTTAACAGTCATTTAAAAATATGCTACACATTCTATGCTTACTAAAAACAATAAACCGGCAGGACCGCCATCCTCTATTGTTTAGGCGATAAAATCACAAGTACTCACAGCATTCGATAAGTAGTTTTTAATTTAAAAAAGTCAAGATAACAGATTCTTGTAGCAACTGACGTATGTAGAGAGTGCGCATATTTTTTTCGAGAACATTTAAATGTTAGGTTAAGTAATTTTATAATAATGTTAATAACTTAAATGCGACTTTTTGCTTAGGAGGGCGAAATACTTCTTCTTTTTTCGCCGTCACCACTAGCAACTATTTTCGTCTTTCTCTTCACCACACAAGTCCTTATCCCCATTCCCATAAAAACCAACGAAATCGCCAAATGGTATCCTCCATATACCACATACTGTCCTCGTGGATCCAGCGCGAATCCTATACCTTCAGTAGCCACAACAGCCGTCAAAATCGAGTTAAAAACCAAAGACACAAACATATTAATACCAAAAATCAACCCATAACTATCTTCGTCTATCCGTTTCGCGATTTCAGCACTCGCTATCGTTATCATAAAATGATACAAAATACCAAACACTATGTAGAAGGCGTAGCACAAAAACAAGTACTCGGTTTGTGAAACGACAACAATCAGTGCCCCCTGAATCAAAGAAAAAATTCCAAGGGTGAGTTCACCCTTGATCTCCCAGTTGAATTTAAGATAACCGGCTAGAAGGGCCGCCAAGAACCCCAAAAGGGTTATTATGGCTTCAACCGCGCCGTTGTAGATGTTGGTGTCGTCGTCTTGGATGGCCGAGTAGAGGGGTTGAAGGTAAAATTCCACCTGAACGTAGCCACAAGTGGAAAGGGCCCACCAAATTGACCATTTCAACACGTAAATGTTGGTATAAGCGTTAATGAAGTGAGATTTCATTAACTTGAAGGCTGATTTAGCTTTTTTGGAAAGGGGCTGGTTTTTGGAATCTTCGGAGTGAAAATAGAGGCTTTTGCTCACAGGCGGGAGAAAAAGGGCCCATATTGTTGCAACGGCAACACCTGAAAAAATAAGTTTGAATTAATGGTCACTAAATTGTGTTGTCGCATTCAATCAATCATTTGTTGTACTTTTATTCTTAACAACAATGCTTTTATAGAACAGTAGCAGATGCACACAATGTGCTTTAAGTGTGCATATTACATTAAATTACACTCGTTAAGGCGGACTGTGGCGTCGAATGTGATATGATACACCCCTCCAGAGTATACTTACCTGCTAAAGATATGTAGTTCAACTGTTCATAATCTAGAACCTTCGTGGAAACAAGCACCTGCGATGCGACTCCAGAAATCGAGCGACCGGCCAAAATGGCTCCTCTAGTATGAGAAGTTACCTTCTGGTAGTGCTCCTTATCGACTTTTGCATAAATGTATGAATAATAAGCAACTTCTGTCGCACGGAATAACCCATACATTGCCTATACGAAAGAAAATATTCTTACGATATATTATTATTAGACGTGGATTTAAAAACTTACTTCAATCACGATAAGTTCAAGAAGACTAGAAGTCCACAGGAGCATAGACCAAACAACGATTCCAGATAATCCCAAAAGTATGATTAAAGGTTTGTACCTACACATGTCTGTTACTAGAAATATTATTACTAAGCAAATTAAGTTGCTGTAAGTCGATATGGGAAAAGCTTGTTTGACTATTTCATCTTCTGTTAAATCTTTCCACGGACCGATTAGAAATTCGTAGGTAAATGGTTCTGATGGGCGCAGTTCTTTGATGAAACCGAAGAGGCAAAGGAGGAGTGAGATTTTCAGCCATTTTTCCATGATTTGTACGTTAAGCTATAATTGAAAAACAAATGTTTTTGTTATTGCTGAGAGGCAATTTTTTCCGTTGGTTTAAATATATTTGCACAGTCTTTTGTAATTTGCGCCCCCAAGGCGCAGGGGCTGCGGGGGTGTTATTTATGCCGCTGGTTTTTACTTTATACAGGTTATCACACAACAAACATCCGAAATCTGATTTTCTAAATTTTCAAAAAAGCTGAATTTGTTGGACGGAAGTTCTGTCAAAATCAACTTCAACCACTTTTTTATTATTTTTACTGTGTTCTCTGAAGTGGTTTGAACGATAAAATCTTCCTATTTTAGTAGTAAATTAAAGCTAGTCTTTTACTTACAGAAACAGATATACCTACAATAACAAAATTAATCACTTTGCAATATCGAGAATCCACAAACATGTGAAAACCTTAGACTAATTAAGAGATAAAAAGAAGATAAAGTGAAAACTAAAATAAAACTGTATTGTTCATAGATTAACCAGCATGGAGACGGGTAGTTACTATATAGTAAACATAACTACGTATTTTATTTGTAACCTTCCATTCCTTAAAAAATGAAACTGATAAAGTAGTAATCAACGAAACGCAATTTGCATGTTTATGTAGGTATAGACTTAGTATATATGTAGAGCGCACAATTTAAGCTCAACAAGGTGAGTAAAAAGTTTTCTAGAGATGTCTGTTTCGTATTGTACCGAAATAATTGGTTCTAATACAATTTAATAGTCGTGAATTCGAAGTGGAAATAAGGATTTTACAGTGGTTTTATGTTATGATTTATGTTTTCTATGAGTTGAATTTTGGAACGTTTATTCTTGGGCACACCTCTCATAGCGAAGTGCGTACCGAACGATATTCTTATGATTTCGACCATATTTAACATGTGGTTTTTTTTATTTACGTGATAGGGAATTCGATTCACGATGTTCTCTTTCAACTATACAGTGTATTAGGGAATTTAGAGAAAAAAATGCCTCCCGCCTCACTCATCCATAACAAATAAACCAAGCCCAATCGTCGAACTTGTTTGATCCACAGACCGGAGTGCACTTAGGCCAATGTCGACTCTAAGCGTTCAGAATTTCTGCGGGAAATGGTTCTTATTTAGATGGTTTTATTTTCGACTCCTCGATTTCTCGATCTTCTGATTTTTCAATTTTTTACTTTTCAGCTTTACGAGTTTTCGATGTTTCGATTTTTGAATTATCCGATTTTTCAGTTTTCCAATTTTTAAAATTTTCGAGTTTCGAATTCTCGATTTGTTGATTTTTCAGTTTCTCCATTTTTCAATTTTACGATGTTTTATATTTCGATGTTTTAAATTTTAGATTTTTAGATTTTTCAGTTCTTCACTATTTTTTATTTTTTCAAATTTTGACGTTTCTGAATTTTCAGTTTTCCGATTTCTCAATTAATCTATCTTTTTTATTTTTCTATTTCTCGACTTACCGAAGTTTCGATTTTTCAGTTCTTCAGTTTTTCGATTTTTTCGATTTTTTAAGCTTGTGATTTTTCGACTTTGTTTTTTTGACACTTCGATTTCTCAATTTTTTAATTTTTTAATTTCCCAATTTTTGGGTAGTTTGTTCAATTTTTGTTCGATTCTTAAATTTTTCTTCTAATTTGATTTTTTTTCAATTTTTCGATATTTCAGTTTTGGGATTTTTTAATGTTTCGACTTTTCGATTTTTTGAGTTCTGGCTTTTTCGATTCCTCGACTTTTTACTTTTTGGATTTTCAATTTTTCGTTTTTAAACCTTTTTTCGACTGTTTTACTTCGATTTCTCAAATTTTCAACTTCTCGATATTTTAACTTTTCAATTTTTCAATTTTCGGAATTTTTAAATTTTCGATTTTCCAATTTATTTTTTAATTTTTTGAACTAGACGTACGCCAAAATCGAAAAATCGAAATTAAAAACGGAAATACTGAAAAATTGAAAATTTAAAAATTCGAAAAATTGAAAACTTCAAGTATAGACGAACTGAAAATTCGAGAATTCGAAAAATCTAGAATTTTAAAAATTGAAAAATTAAAATATCGAAAAGTTGAAATTTCCAAAGTTTGAAAAACGAAAAACTGAAAATCCAAAAAAATTAAAATCGAAAAATCCAGAAGAAAAATCGAAGAATCGAAATGTTGAAAAATCCCAAATCTGAAACATAGAAAGAAAAATTGAAAAAACATTGAGAAATCGAAAAACCAAAAAACAAAGTCGAAAAATCGAAGAATTGAAGAAATGAAAAATCAAAACGTTAAGAAGTCGAGAAATGGGAAAATTAAAAAAAGAGTAACTGAGGAATCGGAAATATTTTTCAAATTTTGACGTTTCTGAATTTTCAGTTTTCCGATTTCTCAATCTATTTTTTTATTTTTCCATTTCTCGACTTCCCCAAGTTTCGATTTTTTAGTTCTTCAATTTCTCAGGTTTTTGATTTTTCAATTTTTCGATTTTTTAACTTTCTGATTTTTCGACTTTGCGTTTTTGGCTTTTCGATTTCCCAGTTTTTCAATTTTTTAATTGCCCAATGTTTGGGTATTTTGTTCAATTTTGTGATTTTTCAGCTTTTCGATTCTTCAATTTTTCGATATTTCAATTTTGGGATTTTTTAATGTTTCGACTTTTTGCTTTTCGGATTTTCAATTTTTCGTTCTTAAAACTTTAAATTTTTCAATTTTTCGACTGTTTTATACTTCGATTTCTCAATTTTTCAACTTTTCGATATTTTAACTTTTCAATTTTTAAAATTTTTGATTTGTCGATTTCTTGAGGTTTCAGTTCTTCAATATTTCAATTTTCGGATTTTTTTAATTTTCGATTTTGTAATTTATTTTTTAATTTTTCGATTTTCCAATTTTTTGAAATATAAGTACGCCAAAATCGAAAAATCGAAATTAAAAATTAAAAAATCAATACGTTGAGAAGTCAAGAAATGGGAAAATTAAAAATAGAATAATTGAGGAATCGGCAAACTGAAAATTTATTGGATTTCTCCATTTTTCAATTTTACATTTTAATTTTTCATTGTTTTAAATTTTAGATTTTTCGATTTTTCAGTTCTTCAATATTTTTCAAATTTTGGCGTTTCTGAATTTTTTAGTTTTCCGATTTCTCAATTAATCTATTTTTTTATTTTTCCATTTTTCGACTTCCTAAAGTTTCGATTTTTCAGTTCGTCAATTTTTCGATTTTTCAGGTTTTTGATTTTTCAATTCTTCGATTTTTTAACTTTCGACTTCCCAATTTTTTAATTGCCCAATTTTTGGATATTTTGTTCAATTTTATGATTTTTCAGCTTTTCGATTCTTCAATTTTTCGATATTTCATTTTTTGGATTTTTTAATGTTTCGACTTTTTACTTTTTGGATTTTCAATTTTTCGTTTCTAAAACTATAGATTTTTCAATTTTTCGACTGTTTGATGTTTCGGTTTCTCAATTTTTCAACTCGATATTTTAACTTTTCAATTTTTAAAATTTTCAGTTTTCTTTTTTGGCTTTTCGATTTCCCAGCTTTTCAATTTTTTAATTCCCCAATTTTTGGATGTTTTGTTCAATTTTGTGATTTTTGAGCTTTTCTATTTTTTTCTATTTTTCAATTTTTCGATATTTCAGTTTTGGGATTTACTAATGTTTCGACTTTTCGATTTTTTGAGTTCCCAGAACTCAGGACTTTTCGATTTCTCGACTTTTAACTTTTTGAATTTTCAATTTTTAGTTTTTAAAACTTTGGATTTTTCTAATTTTCGACTGTTTTATACTTCGATGTCTCAATTTTTCAACTTCTCGATATTTTAACTTCTCAATTTTTAAAATTTTAGGTTTGTCGATTTCTTGAGTTCTTTTATATTTCAATTTTTCAATTTTCGGAATTTTTAAATTGTCCATTTTCCAATTTATTTTTTTATTTTTCGAATTTCCAATTTCTTGAAATATAAGTACGCCAAAATCAAAAAATCGAAATTAAAAATGGAAAAATTGATAAATCGAGAGATTTAATAAGATCAAAACATCGAAACATCCGAATCTCGATAAATCGAGATCTCAATAAATTGAAAAATCGAAAATTTAAAAATTCGGAAAATTGAAAACTTTAAATATAGAACAATTGAAAATTGGAGGATTCGAAAAATCTAGAATTTAAAAAATTGAAAAATTGAGAAATCGAAATATAAAACAGTTTGAAAAACGAAAAACTGAGAATCCAAAAAAAAATTAAAAATCTAAAAATCCAGAAGTCGAAAAATCGAAGAATCGAAATATTGAAAAATTCTAAAACCGAAATATCGAAAACTGAAAAATAGAAGAAAAATTGAAGAATCGAAAAACTGGAAAATCACAAAAACGAAATTTTCAAAAATTGAGAAATTAAAAAATTGGAAAATCGAGAAATCGAAAAACCAAAAAACGAAGTCGAAAAATCGAAGAATTGAAGAACTGAAAAATCAAAACTTTGAGAAGTCGGGAAATAGTAAAATTAAAAATCGAGTAACTAAGGAATCGGAGAACTGCAAGTTTATTGGATTTCTCCATTTTTCAATTTTACGATATTTTAATTTTTCAGTTTTCCGATTTCTCAATTAATCTATTTTTTTATTTTTCCATTTCTCGACTTCCCAAAGTTTCGATTTTCCAGTTCTTCAATTTTTCGATTTTTCAGGTTTTTGATTTTTCAATTTTTCGATTTCCCAGCTTTTCAATTTTTTAATTCCCCAATTTTTGGATGTTTTGTTCAATTTTGTGATTTTTCAGCTTTTCGATTCTTCAATTTTTCGATATTTCAGTTTTGGAATTTTTTAAGTGTTCGACTTTTTATTTTTTGGATTTTCAATATTTCGTTTTTAAAACTTTAGACTTTTCAATTTTTCGACTGTTTTATACTTCGATTTCTCAATTTTTCAACTTCTCGATATTTTGACTTTTCAATTACAAAAATTAAAATACGAAAAGCTGAAAAATTGAGAAATCGAAATATATATATAAAACAGTCGAAGAATTGAAAAATCTAAATTTAAAAAAACGAAAAACTGAAAATCCAAGAAACAAAAAAATCGAAAAATCCAGAAGTCGGAAAATCGAAAAATCGAAGAATCGAAATATTGAAAAATCCCAAAACTGAAATATCGAAAAACTGAAAAATAGAAGAACTGAAGAATCAAAAAACTGGAAAATCACAAAATTAAACGAAATTTCCAAAAATTGAGAAATTTAAAAATTGGAAGATTGAGAAATCGAAAAACCAAAAAATCGAAGAATTGAAGAACTGAAAGATCAAAACTTCGAGAAGTCGGGAAACGGGAAAATTAAAAATAGAATAATTGAGGAATCGGAAAACTGAAAATTTAGCAACATCAAAATTTCAAAAACAATTAAAACATCGCAAAATTGAAAAATCCAAACATCAAAAAATCAAAAAATAAAAATTCGAAAATCTAAAATTTAAAAATAGAAAAACTGAGAAATCGACAAATCGAGAAATCGAAACCCCAGAAGTTAAAATTTAATTTAAAAAATTTTTAATTTAAATAATCTAAAAAAATTGAAAAATCGTATAACTGAAAAACCGAAACATCGAAAAATTGAAAAACCCAAAAGTAAAAAATTGAAAACCGAGAAATCGAAAAATTCAAAAACTGACACCGAGAAATTGAAAAATCAGAGGATCGAGAAATTGAGGGGTCGAAACCGAGAAGAAAAGTTAAAAACTGAAAAATTCTTGAATCGAGAAATCAAAAAATTGAAAAATCGAAAAATTTTAAAAAAGAAAAATTAGAAAATCGAAAATTTAAAAATTTGGAAAATTGAAATAAAGAACTGAAAACTCGAAAAATCGAAAAACCTAAAGATTAAGGAAAAATTCAAAATCCAAAAAATAAAAAATCGAGAAATCAATAAATCCAGCAGTCTAAAAATCGAAATATTGAAAAATCCCAAAACTGAAAGAAATATCCAAAACATTGAGACATTAAAAAATTGGAAAATTGAAAATTGAGACATCGTAAAACTAAAAGGCAAAGTCGAAAAATCGTGATCTTAAAAAATCGTAAAATTAAAGAGGACAAAAATTGAGAACTCGTATTGTTGAAACAGGAAAAATGAGAAATCGAAATATGGAAAATTTGAAGAATGGAAAAATTAAAAAAGTCCAAAATTGAAGTATTGAAAAATGGAGACACCTAAAGTTTTTAACATTAAAATATCATTTATTCGACAAAATTGTAAGATGATATCATCAATTCCTGGGGGACATGAACGGATACATTTTAACTAACGATTTAACATGCTTCCAATAACTAGAAACTGCTGTTGATTTTTTTTTTCCAAAAATCTTGACGTCTAAGGTAAAAATTCAACACGAATTCATAAACGGTAAACGGAGGATATAAAATTTAAATTGCATCTATTGTAAAATTTGGAGATTACGTCGTTTCATTATTGGTAACAAATTTTGGTGAGCGTTTTACCATGTTATAATACAATTTGAAATATAAATTTCGGAAGCTTTATGTATTAAATCGTTAAAATGTTCAAGAACTTTGTTCACTTATTCGTTGTAAAGTTAGTTAGTTCTTCGTAGTGGATGTGTATCACATCAGTTCTAACGAAAATCGGCTTATACATAAATCGTTTAGAGACGATATTGGCCTGAGTGCGCTCTGGTCTGTAAATCAAACAAGTTCTCAGGCGACGCAATAACAAACAAGGAAACGAAAATCCAAAAATTTTACATAAAAAGTAATGATTGCCAGAATTGAAGAAAAACTGAAAAAATTGTATTGTCTCGCAATAAAATATGTACGAAAACTTATTTCCGTAGGGTACGAAATACAGATCTGTAGAACAGTTCGATCTTTGCCGATATTTTCAGTAACTCACCACCAGGGGACAGCGCCTCTCGGACGTATTTTGTACTTCTGCGCAAGTTTGCAATTGTGTGGAACTTAGAGCGTACCGACTCTTCAACGTTCTTATTAGTTGATTTATATTTACTTTAACGTTTGTTATTCACCACTTTAGTCACGTAAAACAGTCATACTACACACTAAATTAAATATAAATTTCATTTACAAACTGGGTTTCTTGGACTAAATTGCGTTAGCGATAAATCACGAGTACTTACCGCACATTAAGTAGTTTTTAATAACAACAATTTTTTGTCAGAACATGCCATCTCTTGATGTTACCAAGGCCGAATATAAACAATCTCACCTGTTTCGGGTCGTCTACCTCAAAACTGCACACCAACTCCTCATATTTTGAGCATTTATTCATTACTGTAAAATTAAAATAACACTAACAAATAAAAATGAATGGAGGGCAAAGCGCAGTCAAAAAAATCAACAACAAAGATTGGATCTCTATGGCAAACATGATACTTTACATTTTCTCATATTCTAACCCTAGCTGAAGCATTCTATAGTTTGACGATCGTATGATAAAAGCTCTTGTCATATAAAAAGAATGCATAAAAATTAGTACTAAATAAAAAAGTCGCATAATAGAAAAAATATTGTCCTATCAATACTAAAGGAAGTATTTACAAATCCAAAATAAAAATAATACTCTTCATAAACGACCTCTAAAAAACATTTAAGACAACTGGACTTGGAGTTCGGAGATATCCGTCATTTCTTCGGTGATTTCGTCCGTTGGAACGAACTTCTCTTCGTACTTCGCCTCTAGGAGCTCTTCGTGTTCGTTCCCATCTTGTGTGGCAGTCGCCACGGTCGTCACCGCCGTGGGGTTGTTCACCGAATCCGTAACTGTGTTGTTAGTCTGAGTATCGTCGGTGGTGGAAGCCGGGGGAGGATTCGGTTTGGTCCTGCCATACTTTTCGTGGATGTTCCTATGTCTCTTCAACGCAAATCTGCACAAAACAATCACTCAAAATTATTACTATTATTATTATGACTTAATTACCTATCCGAAAATCCGACGGAACAAATATCACACTTGAACGGCTTTTCGCCCGAATGCACTTTTGCGTGATTCTTAAGATGTGTTGCTTGGTTGAAGCACGAGCCACATATGTCACACCTGTACGGTTTTTCCCCTGTATGGATCCGCCGATGGTTCCATAAGGTCGAATGTCGAGCGAACGACTTCTCGCACACCTCGCACACGTACGGCCGCTCGCCCGAGTGGATGCGCTCGTGGTTTTTGAGATGCGGCGATTGGGAGAACTGCATGCCGCACACGTTGCAACGGTACGGTTTTTCCCCGGTGTGGATTCGAGAGTGGTTTTTGAGATAGGCGGCCTTGGCGAAGGCTAAGCCGCAAATATTGCATTTGAAGTTCTTCTCACCGGTGTGGAGACGCTTATGTGACCATAAGGAAGAATAACGACTAAATGAACCTGCGAATAATATTTGTGGACTTTTATAAGAAGTACTTGCTATTATAGATACGTTTAAAAAAGACAACTGCATAATACTAGTATTAATAAGTTAGAAGAACTTACCGTTGCAAATATTACAATGAAACGGTTTGTCGACATTATTTTGTTGATTTTTCGAGCCGCCTATGAAAATAATACCGCTGCCATTGCACTTTGTACATTTGGTGACGCTGGCAACACCGCGTCTTTTGACTGGGTGATTATTTTTCACTCCTATTGGTATTGAATTTTGAGTACCTGAAACACCTTAAGTACTTAAGTCGATTGCTCAAAGTATTTAAGTAAATGTACGCATGCGCAAACAACATTAAAGTGTGCAGAAACAACAACAGATACACATATACAGAGTGCTTTCCCAAATTTATTTATTATGTATTTAACAAAAAACCTCTGCTCAGTAACATTTCCCTCACCTAAATTATTCGACGTCTGCGTTCCAGTCGACTCCTCGAACTTGACAGACGCGGCATCGGAAGCGGTCGCCACGACGAAAATCTGAGGCTGGATGGCCTCAGCTGAGAGACAGTTTTCGCACTTCACCTTCATAACGGCCCTTTTCTTATTATTATCCTGCGGCAAGGGGGCGCCACACGATTCACAGTTTTTGATTTTCAGAGTATTCTGCTGCGGCGGTTGCGTCTGCGTGGTGACCTGCTGTTGCTGCTGCTGCTGCTGCTGTTGAGGCTGATGCGATTGGATCTTGTGCGACTTCAGGTCGCTCTGAGTATTGAAAGTCAGACCGCACTCCTCACACGGAAATCGTATCCTGTCGGCGGAGACGATCTGGATCTGAGTAGGCTGTTGCTGCTGCTGAACCTGGAATGGCATAGCGTGATGATTTGAACGAAAACGTCATGGGTCAGTTTCGGGCAAGTCAAATTGGAAATGCGTAATTTTTGGTTTTGTATATTAAAAAAAAAAAAAACACAGCTTTTTTGACTCGACTTTTTCGATGTTTTATTTTTTAATATTTAAATTTTTCGATTTTTCAATTTTGTATGTTTTCAATTTATCGATTTAAAATTTTTCGTTTCGATTTTTTGTGTTCTTGTTAATTTTTTAAATTTTTCGTTTCTTCAATTTTTCGATTTGCAATTTTTCAATTTTTCCTTTTTTTCCTTTAATTTTACGATATTATACAACTTCCGGTTTTCGTTTTTAAATTTTTCATTTTTTCGATTTTCCAACTTTTGGATGTTTCACTTTTTAGATTCAGTTTGTAATTTCCCGAGTTTTTATTTTTCAATTTAGCATGTCTTCAAGGTATCGAATTGCATTTTTTTATTTCGTTTTTTGAATTTTCTTAATTTTTTCAATTTTTCGTTTTTCAGTGTTTTGATTTTTTTTCAAGTGAGATTTTTCAATTTTTTTTTCTTCAATTTTTGACCTGCAATTTTTATAGTTTTCACTTTTAATATGTATTAATAATAATTTCTTGTTTTTCAATGTTACGATTTTATAATTTTTCTATTATTCAATTTTTGAGATTTTAAAACTTTTTCATTTATTGGACTTTTTAAATTTTCGTAGTTTTCATTTTAAATATATGTTAATAATAATAAAATTTAAAATTTTCCCTTTTCCAATGTTAGAATTTTAGAATTTTTTCATTTTTCAATTTTTAGATTTTAAAACTTTTTTATTTATTGGACTTTTCAATTTTCCGATTTATATTTCAATTTTTCGATTTACAATTTTCAACTTTTCATTTTTTTTGTTCCTTTTAATTTTACGATATGTAACTCTTCGAGTTATCATTTTTAAAATTGTTCACTTTTTCGATTTTCCAACTTTTGGATGTTTCACTTTTTAGATTTTGCAGTTTTTCGATTTGCAATTTCCCGAGTTTTTATTTTTTAATATGTTAATATATATTTCGATTTTTCAATTTTGCAGGTCTTTAATTTTTCGTTTCGATGTTTTGTTTTCTTAATTTTTTCGGGTTTCCCATGTTCTGATTTTATCATTTTTCTTTTTATTAGTGTGAAAATTTTCAATTTTTCGATTTCCAATTTTGCGGTTTTCAATTTTTCGATTTTTCAACTTTTAGGTTTTATAACTTTTCGTTTTATCAATTTTAGATTTTTCAGTTTCATGATTTTTCAATTTTTCGCTTCTTCAATTTTTGATTTGCAAATTTTCTAGTTTTCATTTTAAATATGATTGTATTTACAATAATAAAATTTAAAATATTTCAATTTTTCATTGTTAGGATTTTGGAATTTTTTCATTTTTCAATTTGTAGATTTTAAAACTTTTTCATTTATTTGACTTTTCAATTTTTCGAAATTTAATTTATCAATTTTTCGTTTCTTCAATTTTTTGATTTGCAATTTTTCAATTACATTTTAAAATTTGTCACTTTTTCGATTTTCCAACTTTTGGATGTTTCACTTTTTAGATTTTGCAGTTTTTCAATTTGCAATTTCCTGAGTTTTAATTTTTTTTTTAATTTTTCAATTTTGCATGTCTTCAATGTATCGAATTGCAATTTTTGATTTCGTTTTTTGAATTTTCTTTATTTTTCAATTTTTCGGTTTTACAATGTTCTGATTTTTTTTCAACATAAAATTTTTCAATTTTTTGTTCCTTCAATTTGTGATTTGCAATTTTTATACTTTTCATTTTAAATATGTATCAATAATAATTTTTTTTTTGATTTTTCAATGTTACGATTTTACTATTTTTCCATTGTTCAATTTTTGGGATTTTAAAACTTTTTCACTTAGTCTACTTTTCAATTTTTGTAGTTTTCATTTTAAATATGTATTAATAATGACAAAGTTAAAAAATGTGTAGTTTTTCAATGTTAGGATTTTAGAATTTCTCCATTTTTCAATTTTTAGATTTTAAAACGTTTCGACTTCTCAATTTTTCGATTTTTAATTTTTCAATTTTTCGATTTGCAATTTTCCAACTTTTCATTTTTTTTGTTCCTTCAATTTTACGATATGCATATTTCAAGTTTTCATTTTTAATTTTTTTCGTTTTTCGATCTTCCAACTTTTGGATATTTCACTTTTAAGATTTGTCAATTTTTCGAATTGCAGTTTCACGAGTTTTAATTTTTTCGATTTTTCAAATTTTCAATTTTTTAATTTTGCTCTCTTCAATGTTGCGAGTTGCAACTTTTCGTTTTGGTTCTTTCATTTTCTTTATTTTTTTTGGTTTTCAATTTTTCAACATTTAGATTTTTTAAACTTTCGTTTTTTCAATTATAACATTTTTGATGTGTAATTTTTCGTTTCGATTTTTCATTTTCTATATTTTTATAGTTTTTCGATTTTTCAATGTTCTGAGTTTATGATTTTTTGATTTTTAATTTAATTTTTTTCAATTTTTCGTTTCTTCAATTTTCCGACTTGCAATTTTTCATTTTTTTGTTTCTTCAATTTTACGACATCCAACTCTTCGAGTTTTCATTGTTTCTTTTTTTTAATGTGAAATTTTTCAATTTTTCGGTTTTCAATTTTTCGATTTTTCAAATTTTAAATGTTTCACTTTTTAGATTCTGCAATTTTTCGATATGCAGTTTCACGAGTTTTTATTTTTTAATATTTTAATTTTTCAATTATGCATATCTTCAATTTTTCCAGTCGTAATTGTTTGTTTCGATTTTTTGTTTTCTTAATTTTTCAATGTACTGATTTTATCTTTTTTTATGTAAAATTTTTCAATGTTTGGATTTTATAATTTTTCGTTTTTTCAATTTTAGATTTTTCAGTTTCATGATTTTTCAATTTTCCGTTTCTTCAATTTTGGATTTGCATTTTTTTTAGTTTTCATTCAAAATATTGTGTATTAATAATAACAAAATTTAAAATTTTTCACTTTTTCATTGTTAGGATTTTAGAATTTTTCCATTTTTCAACTTTTCGATTTTTAGTTTTTCAATTTTTCGAGTTGCAATTTTTCAATTTTTCCTTTATTTTCCTTAATTTTACCATATCCACTTTTTCGATTTCCCAACTTTTGGATGTTTCACTTTTTAGATTTTGCTGTTTTTCGATTTGAAATTTCCCGAGTTTTTATTTTTATTTTTCAATTTTTCAATTTTGTATGTCTTCAATGTTTCGAATTGCAACTTTGCATTTCGTTTTTTGAATTTTCTTTATTTTATCAATTTTTCGGTTTTTCAATGTTCTGATTTTTTTTCAACGTAAGATTTTTAAATTTTTTGTGCCTTCAATTTTTATAGTTTTGATTTTAAATATGTATTAATAATAACAAAATTTAAATTTTTTTACTTTTTCAATATTAGGATTTTAGAATTTTTCCATTTTTCAATTTTTAGATTTTAAAACTTTTTCATTTATTGGACTTTTCATTTTTAAATTTTTCACTCTTTAGATTTATCAATTTTTCGAATTGCAGTTTCAGTTTTAATTTTTTAATTTTTGAATTTTTCGATTTTTCAATTTTGCATGTCTTCAATGTTTCGAACTGCAATGTTTCGTTTTGGTTTTTGTGTCTTCTTTATTTTTTCAGTGTTCTGATTTTATAATTTTTCTTTTCTTCACGTAAAATTTTTCAATTATTGGATTTTTCAATTTTTCAACATTTAGATTTTTTAAACTTTCGTTTTTTCAATTTTAACATGTTCAGTTTCATGATTTTTTAACTTCTCGTTTATTCAATTTTTGATTTGTAATTTTTCTAGTTTTCGTTTTAAATACATATGTAGTAATAATAATAATTTAAAATGTTTCAATTTCTCAATTTTACGAGTTTAAAATTTTTCCATTTTTAAAATTTGTGGATTTTGAAACCTTTATTTATTCGACTTCTCAATTTCTCCATTTTTTATTTTTCAATGTTCCGATTTTATGATTTTTTGAGTTTCATTTTAATTTTTTCAATTTTTCGTTTCTTAAATTTTTCGATTGCAATTTTTCATTTTTTTTTTTTTGTTTCTTCAATTTTTCAACAGTCAACTCATCGAGTTATCATTTTTAAATTTTTCGGTTTTTCGATTTTCCAACTTTTGAATGTTTCACTTTTTAGATTCTACAATTTTCCGATACCTATGCAGTTTCACGAGTTTTTATTAATTCATATTTTAATTTTTTTAATTTTTCGATTTTTCAATTTTGCATGTCTTCAATTTTTCGATTTGTAATTTTTCGTTTCGGTTTTTGTATTTTATTTTTTGATTTTTCGATTTTTCAATGTTCTGAGTTTATTTATTTTTACTTCAACGTAAGATTTTGCAATTTTTTGGTTTTCAATTTTTCAACTTTTAGATTTTTTAATCCTTCGTTTTTTCAATTTAAGATTTTTCAGTTTCATGAATTTTCAATTTTTCGTTTCTTCAATTTTCGATTTGCAATTTTTCTAGTTTTAATTTTAAATCTGTATATATCAAATTAATAATAAATACATGACAGTTTTCCGGGTTGGAACAGTGTTGATTGAGTTTTTGGGCTCAACCCAAGTGTACGAAACGTTGAGCCCAAAACTCAATTAACACGGTTCCAACCCGGAAAACGATCATGTATTGATTTCGTCCGTGCAAGCCTCCGAAATTAATTAATACACATTTTTAAAATCTAAACTTTTTCATTTATTCGACTTTTCAATTTTTTGATTTTTAATTTCTCAATTTTTCGTTTCTTCAATTTTTGATTTGCAATTTTTCTAGTTTTCGTTTTAAATACGTAGTAATAATAATAATTTAAAATGTTTCACTTCTTCAATTTTACGATTTTAGAATTTTTTCATTTTACAATTTGTGAATTTTAAAACCTTCATTTATTTTTCAATTTCTCCATTTTTAGCTTTTCAATTTTCCAATTTTTCATATTTCATTTCTTCAAATTTTCGCTGTGCAATTTTTCCTCTCCTCCCTTTTCTTTATTTGTACAATTTTTCGATATTTCAATATTCCAATTTCATAACTTTTTGCTTTTTCAATTTTACGACCTACAACCCTTCGAATTTTCCTTTCAAATTTTCCAGTTTTTCAATTTTTCAACGTGAGGATGTTTCAGTTTTTAGACTTCTTCGTTTCGGTTTTTTGTTTTGTTTTATTATTTCAATGTTTCAACGTCTCGAAGAAAAAACCGGAAGAATTGCTAAATTATAAAATCAAAAATGAAAAAACGAAAAGTATAAAACGAAAAATTTAAAAACTGGAAATCAAGAACATGAATAATTGAAGGAACGAAAAATTCACAAATCGAAAGGTTAAAAATCGAGAAACTTAAAAATCGAAAAAGTGTAAAATAGAAAAAACTAAATATTGACTGAAAATTTGAAAACTTGAATAAACGATATTATAAAATCGAAAGACACTTTGAAAAAACGAAACTTGAACTGAGGAAACGAAATTTTGAAAACAAAAATTTTGGAATGACGTCATCAATTTTTTGGGAGGGGATAAACAAATAAATTTTGATTAACGAATTAGGTGCCACGATTATGATAACCTAAACACATTTGAAAGTTTTAGAGAATTCGTTTCTGCGGTTTCAAAGGTAAATTGCAAAATATTGTTACAAAATTTTGATTTTTTTCCAAAAAATCTGAATGTCTAGGGTGAAAATTTAACACATATTTAATTCATACACCACAAGTGCAGGAGTATCTTTTTTTTTTCCTTCCTATAACAGTGAAACTAAACCCAGCTCACTACCTGCACAGTGATCTGCTGCTGCTGCTGCTGATTCTGGTCCCCCTGCCCTTGATGCATCCGCTTGTGGTGGTTCAAGAGTGACAGATGGGCAAACATCAGCCCACACACGTCACACTTGAACGTGATGTTGGAAATGGTATTCTGGGTTAAAGACATCTGGTTGACAAGCGCATAATTGTAGCTGAAGGGTTGGGTTATGTAGCACTTGTCGTCGGACAACTGCGACATGTTGACGGTGGAGTTATGGGTCTGGGTGGTGTTGGGTGTTATTTTATGTATCATGTTCACGTTAGCGTAACAGAAAGACGGAAAGGTATCCTTTTGGGTGCCATCCTGGTTTTTGTCTTTGTCGGTTGGTTGTTGCTGTTGGTACTGGATTTGCGACTGTTGGGTCGTTATGGCGTTGGGATCGAACATCATCGAATGGCTGGGTGGTGAAGTGGCTCCACCGTGCGATGTGTATGGCAACTATAAAAAAAACAAATGGTTAATTAAAATGTTGTAAATAAATGAGTGGATCTGAAAGATTAACTTTTGTTTTATTTTTGGAATTCCACTACATTACGTATTCAAAATGCAGTATTTTTATCTCTGTTGGGTCCAACTGGAAACGGAAATAACTCCATCATAAATTATTTTTCACGCAAAAAAAATTCCAGCAAATAGAACTTGGGTATTCCTAGGGACAGCCCAAATTTCGAAAAGATTCAACAATCGTTCTCGCGATATTCAACTGCTTCCATACTTTTTAGCGACCCTGCATAATAAAACGAAATAAAAAGATCCAAAATTTTAAACTGCCCATATGCCACAATATAAAAAACACGATTTTGAAAAGGTTTCCAATATTTCGGGTACGAATATTAAAAAAAAAGGTAATTAAAAAAGGAAAATGCTAGAAACTTGAGTACTAAATTAAATTAGTTAGACAACCAACAATACAGCTTTGTGTTGTGGTAGTAAGATTCTTTTATTACGATTGATTTATCTCAGTCGTAAAAGCACAATATTTAAACCGCTTACGTCTACAGGAAGAGGAACATTTTGGAATAATCTATTAAAACATCTATTACTTACTGTATTGACAACACAAATAAAAAACCTACTTGATTAATTTATTGAATCAGCTTTACGAAAGTCTATTTTTATACTATGAAAAATTCAAACAGAATAAACGTGGAAAATCGGAAAGCAAGCAGCCAGAAAACCGCAATAAATTAGGCTAAAAAACTTCGAATTCATGACGGTAATAGAAATGACATAACACATTAATGCAAAAAATGACAAGCATTAGACACAGAACACTTAACTCATTAGGCGAATTTATTTAACCCAAGTCGGTATGACACGGCAAATTATTTTCTTCGTATAATTAAAATTGTCGGAATGGGACTATTTGGCGCGGCCGACTTGGCGCGAGCCATTTTGGCGCAAAGCCAACTTGGCGTAGGGACACTTTGGCGCAAGCCATCTTGGCGCGAGCCATCTTGGCGCGAGTACGTCTGTATATAATATAAAAAATCGTTATTGTTCGTACTGTGGTTGGCACCCCGTTATTTATGTCAAGTGTAGGGAACCAAATACACAGTTTCATCCACACAAATTCCAATAACTAAATGATCCACGGAGCAAGAAGTTCCACGTTTAGGAGTATGTTTATAATGGGGTGCCGGGCGCGAAGCGCCCGTGTGTCCATTAAAAAGTCGACATTACCCCTCCACGCGTTGGTGACTATAAAAATTAGGTTATGCTAAAAACGGATGCAATTTTTGTATATTTATATATTTGCGCCAAAATGTCTCGCGCCAAGTCGGCCGCGCCAAGTTGGCCGCGCCAAGTCGGCCGCGCCGAATTGTCCTAGACCGTAAAATTGTATATTGCTAAACAAGTGCGAAAAAGAGCTTATTCCTCACATGTTTCACACGCCACTTTTTTCATCTTTTCCAATTTATGTAATAGTCTATAAGTGGTTAATCGTCAAGGTTTCATGGAACTGATTTCCATGGTGACGAAACAATTTCCTTGTAAATGCTTTACATCGAACAATAAGTTTGATGGAAATCTAGTCTTAAATCTAAGGATGTCATCATAGGCAATTCTGCTTAGCCTGCAGGAGTGGAAAATGCAGATAAATTGTGGGTGTAATAAAAACAGCGTATCACTGAACACTAAAGAGATAAAACTGCGCCGAATGTAGACGACATTTGAAAATTCGAACCACAACGGAAATAAAAGAGCCGAATAAATTTCAGTTCGTTCTCACCAAAAATTTTATGGAGTCATTTCAAAATTTTGCTTACTACATGCCATATAAATTTTATAAAATAAAAATAATACTCATGTATTTGTGGTTTATAAAGCTGCCTTGATTTTGTTTGCTTTTATTATAATTCTTATTATCGAATATTTCTCGTTGCAAACTGGTTATTGGTGTCTTAATTACAACCGATATGGTAATTAAAACATGAAAATTGGTGACAAGGGTAACACTGATTATACATATAAAAGCACCCCAACTCTGAATTTTCGTTATTTTTAGGGTCAGTGTCCCTGGTGTGCGGGAAACCGAAGTTCAATTCTCAACCAGACGGAAATTCGCTTTAATTATTAATTAAATGTAAATTTCAATTGATTGCTATTGTTCTATTGCTTTTAATAATCAGTTGCCCATAAAAACAACATCAGTGCTAGACAATGTAAACTTTATGGAGTTCAGGTTGGCGCATTTTGTTTTATTTTATTTTTTTGATATTTCAGAAATGACGTATTTCAAAAACAACTCAATATTTTTAACAAAAAAAAAAAAAAATGAGTGACCCTAGTGTAATATAAAATGTTGCAAAACAATTAAAACAATGCGTAGGTAAAAGAACGAGGCGCATTCATAAACCACATGTCAGAATTATAACAAAAAAAAAACCTGTGTCGAAGAAGCTGCTTTTACTGTATCTCATTTTCAACAAAATAAAACGTTTTCCCCAATGTATAGAGCTTTGTAAGCTGAAAACAGTGGTGAAAATCGGGTTTCGAAATTTCCATGAATAATTGAGATATTGAATTTTAAAAATACGTGATGAAAAATTTCGCCAAAACTTAAAAAAATAAAGATAGTCAACTGTTTTTAAACTGCCAATGTGCTGTTATCTAGAGTGACTTGTGGACAATTTATATTTAAAATTTCATAGCAATAAGTGTTAAACTTTTAGGAGAAATCTAGATTTATTTCCCTTCGACCAATTTTTTGATATCACAATTTTTGGTTTTTTAATGTTTTAGAGTTTCATAGTGTTTTTTCAATTTTTCTATTTCTCGACTTGCAATTTTTTTAATTTTTCGTTTCCTCAATTTTCCAATTTTTCATTTTTCGATTTTTCGGTTTGTTGATTGCCTCAATTTTTCAAGTTCTTGATTTTTATTTTTCATTTTCTCGATCTTTTAATTTTCATATTTTCGATTTTATTGTCACAATTTTTCTTTTTTCAATTACTTTATTAAAATTAATGTTTCTTTCGATTTTATAATTCTTCGTTTATTCAATTTTTCAAATTTTGGATCTCTCAATTATTTATTTTATTTCTTTAATTTTCAATATCTGGATTTTACAATATTTATTTTTTCGATTTTGCATTTTTTCGATTTTTAAGTTTCTCAATTTTTAATCTTTCGATTTTTTAGTTTTTCGTTTCTACAAGTTTTCAAATTCTTGATTTCCAATTTTTAGCCTTTTCAAAGTTTTCGTTTCATATTGTATCGTATTTGTTTCGTTGTAAAGTTGAAAAACCAAAAATTGAAAAATAGAAAAATAAATAATCGAAAAACTGAAAAAACGAAAAATTGCAAAAATCGAAAAAGTAGAAAATCGAAAAATTGCAAATCGAGGCACTGAAGAAACGAAAGATTGAAATTCTGAAAAATTAAAAATCGAGAAATTTAAAAAACGAAAAAATTAATGAATCGAAATGTTGGAAAACTCAAAAACTGTAAAATATCACAATTTTTCGTTTTTCAATTCCTTTATTTTTTTCAATGTTTCTTTCGATTTTATAAGTTTCCGTTTATTCAATTTTTCAAATTTTCAATCTTTAATTTTTCAATTCCTCGATTTTCCAATTTATAAATCTTTCAATTTTGCGATGTTTGGATTTTTCAATTAACCAATTTTCCGATTATTTCAATTTTCAATATTTTGATTTTACAATATTTCTTTTTTTTTTATTTTGCACCTTTTCGATTTTTAAGTTTCTGAGTTTTAATCTTTCGATTTTTCAGTTTTTCGTTTTGTCAATTTTTCAAGTTCTTGAATTCCAATTTTTAGATTTTTCAAAGATTCCGTTTTATATTTTTTTGGTTTTTTATTTTTCAATTTTACAGATTTTTTTCCAAAAGTTGAAAAATCGAAAAATTGAAAAACAGAAAAATAAAAAAATCGAAAAATTGCAAATCGAGACTCTGAAGAGACGAAAGATTGAAACACTGAAAAATTAAAAATCGAGAAACTTAAAAAACGAAAAAATTAATGAATCGAAAAGTTGGAAAGAAGAAAAAACTAATCGAATCGAAAAATTGGAAAACTCAAAAACTGTAAATATCACAATTTTTCGTTTTTCAATTCCTTTATTTTTTTCAATGTTTCTTTCGATTTTATAAGTTTCCGTTTATTCAATTTTTCAAATTTTCAATCTTTAATTTTTCAATTCCTCGATTTTCCAATTTATAAATCTTTCAATTTTGCGATGTTTGGATTTTTCAATTAACCAATTTTCCGATTATTTCAATTTTCAATATTTTGATTTTACAATATTTCTTTTTTTTTTATTTTGCACCTTTTCGATTTTTAAGTTTCTGAGTTTTAATCTTTCGATTTTTCAGTTTTTCGTTTTGTCAATTTTTCAAGTTCTTGAATTCCAATTTTTAGATTTTTCAAAGATTCCGTTTTATATTTTTTTGGTTTTTTATTTTTCAATTTTACAGATTTTTTTCCAAAAGTTGAAAAATCGAAAAATTGAAAAACAGAAAAATAAAAAATTGAAACATTGCAAATCGAGACACTGAAGGAACGAAAGATTGAAACACTGAAAAATTAAAAAGCGAGAAACTTAAAAAACGAAAAAATTAATGAATCGAAAAGTTGGAAAGAAGAAAAAACTAATCGAATCGAAAAATTGGAAAACCCAAAAACTGTAAATATCACAATTTTTCGTTTTTCAATTCCCTTATTTTTTTCAATGTTTCTTTCGATTTTATAATTTTTCGTTTATTCAATTTTTCAAATTTTCAATCTTTAATTTTTCAATTCCTCGATTTTCCAATTTTTAAATCTTTCAATTTTGCGATGTTTGGATTTTTCAATTAACCAATTTTCCGATTATTTCAATTTTCAATATTTCGATTTTACAATATTTCTTTTTTTTTATTTTACACCTTTTCGATTTTTAAGTTTCTGAGTTTTAATCCTTGGATTTTTTAGTTTTTCGTTTTGTTAATTTTTCAAGTTCTTGAATTCCAATTTTCAGATCTTTCCAAGTTTCCGTTTTATATTTTTTTGATTTTTATTTTTCAATTTTACAGAATTTTTTCCAAAAGTTGAAAAATCGAAAAATTGAAAAACAGAAAAATAAAAAATCGAAAAATTGCAAATCGAGACACTGAAGAAACGAAAGATTGAAACACTGAAAAATTAAAAAGCGAGAAACTTAAAAAACGAAAAAATTAATGAATCGAAAAGTTGGAAAGAAGAAAAACTAATCGAATCGAAAAATTGGAAAACTCAAAAACTGTAAAATATCACAATTTTTCGTTTTTCAATTCCTTTATTTTTTTCAATGTTTCTTTCGATTTTCTAATTTTTCGTTTATTCAATTTTTCAAATTTTCAATCTTTAATTTTTCAATTCCTCGATTTTCCAATTTTTAAATCTTTCAATTCTGCGATGTTTGGATTTTCCAATTATCCAATTTTCCGATTATTCAATTTTCAATATTTCGATTTTACAATATTTCTTTATTTTTATTTTGCACTTCTTCGATTTTGAAGATTATCAATTTAATCTTTCGATTTTTCAATTCTTGATTTCTAGTTTTTAAATCTCATTTTAACTTTTTTGTAACTTTTTTTTGATTTTTAAATTTTACAATTCTGCAATTTTTCCATTTTTGGTATAAGAAAAGCTGAAAAATCGAAAAACTGAAAAAATGAGAAATTGTAAAATTGAAAAAGCATAAAATCCAAAAATTGCAAATCGAAGAACTAAAAAAACGAAAAATTGCGAATTTACGAATCGAATCGCAAAATTGGAAAAACTAAAAATGATAAAAACTGAAAAACTGAATAAATGAAATGATTTTAAAATCCAATAATTGAAAAACGGAAAAATTCAAAAGTTGAAAATTTTAAAAATTGTAATTATTATTAAATATGTATTTTAAATGAAAACTAGAAAAATTGCAAATCAAAATTTATAGAAAGGAAAAATCGAGAAACTGAAAAATAAAGTTGAAAAATCGATAAATGGAACCCCAAAAATTGCAAATCTAAAAATTGAAAAATCCAAAAATTGAATAATTAAAAATTCGTGAAATTACAAATTTTCCAAATCTAAAAACTAAATCATTCAAAAGTTGTAAAACCGAAGAATTCAAAAATGTAAAAATGAAACTCGAAGCGTTACATATGGGCAAACTGAAGAAACAAAAAGAAATAAAAATTGAAAAATTGCTAATCGAAAAATTGAAGGAGAAAAAGATTGAAAAATCGAAAAAACTGAAAAACAAAAATTGTAAAATTAAAAATCGAGGTAATTAAAAATCCAAAGGAATTAATGAATCGAAAAATTAAAAAAAAAAACGAATCGAACCGCAATGTTGGAAAAACCAAAAATTGTAAAACTAAATACATAGGAAGAAATTAAAAAATTGAATAAATGAAAAGGTTTTAAAACCTAATAATTGGAAAACGGAAAAATTCGTCAATCGTAAAACAGAAAAATCTAAAAGTGGACAAATCGAAAAGAGAAACCCGAAAAATTGCAAAACGGAAAATTTGTAAGTCTAAAAATTGAAAAATTTGACGCTGAATAAAAGAAAAATCATAAAAGCAGAGCACTGAAAAACCGAAAACTTGAAAAAATAGAAAAAATAAAAAACCGAAACGAAAAATTGAAGAAAAGAAAAACAGGAAAATCCAGAAATTGAACAACTGAAAATTAAAGTCGTGAAATTACAGATCGAAAAATTGCAAAATCTAAAAACTAAAACATTCAAAAGTTGGAACAACAAAGATCTCAAAAATGTAAAAATGAAAATCGAAGAGTTACATAATCGGAAATTGAAAGTAACAAAAAAAAAATAAAATAAAAATTGAAAAATTGCAAAATCGAAGAACTCAAAACGAGAAATCGTAAAATTGAAAACGTAGAAAATCGGAAAACTGCAAATCGAAGAACTGAAAAACGAAAAATTGAAACATTGAAAAATTAAAAATCGGGGAACTTAAAAATCGAAAGGAATTGACGAATCGAAAAATTAGAAAGAAGAAAAAACGAATCGAATAGCAAAATTGGAAAAACCTAAAATTGTAAAGTTAAATAAATACGAAGAAATTGAAAAATTAAAAATCCAAAAATTGAAAAACGGGAAAATTCTAAAAATTGAAAAATTGAATAAATGAAAAGGTTTTAAAATCTAATAATTGGAAAACGGAAAAATTCGTCAATCGTAAAACTGGAAAATCGAAAAATGGACAAATCGAAAAGAGAAACCCGAAAAATTGAAAAATCCAAAAATTGGAAATTTCACGCTGAATAAAAGAATAATTATAAAAGCAGAGCACTGAAAAACCGAAAATTTGAAAAAATGAAAAAACAAAATACCGAAACGAAAAATTGAAGGAACAAAAAATTGAAAAATCGAAAAACTGGAGAACGAGAAATTGTAAAATTAAAAACGTATAAAATCGGAAAATTGCAAATTGAAGAACTGAAAAACGAAAAATTGAAACATTGAAAAATCAAAAATCGAGGAAATTAAAAATCCAAAGGAATTAACGAATCGAAAAATTAGAAAGAAGAAAAAACGAATCGAATCGCAAAATTGAGAAAACCAAAATTGTAAAATTAAACACATACAAAGAAATTGAAAAATTAAAGTCGAAAAATTGAAACACGGGAAAATTCTAAAGATTGAAAAATTGAATAAATGAAAAGGTTTTAAAATCTAATAATTAGAAAACGGAAAAATTCGAAGTGGACAAATCGAAAAGAAACCCGAAAAATTGCAAATCGAACAATTGAAAAATCCAAAAATTGAAAAATTTCACGCTAAATAAAAGAAAAATTATAAAACCAGAGCACTAAAAAACCGAAAATTTGAAAAAATAAAGAAAAAAAAGAACCGAAACGAATAATTGACGAACTGAAAAATTGAGAAATTCAGAAATTGGAAATCACAAATCGAAAAATTGCAAAATCAAAAAACTGAAAAATGTAAAAATGATAACTCGAAGAGTTGCATATCGGAAAATTCAAGAAAAAAAACAAAAAACGCAAAAAATTGTAATTTTTCAAAGAAGTGGGATTTGTTGGGCTTCACTTCAGGACCGAAGGAAGTTCTGTCGAAATAACCTTCGACAATTTTTTTTCCAAAAATCTGCATATCTACGGTAAAAAATCTAGACAGATTCATAGATCACAAGTGTAGGAGTATGTTAGTTACAAAATTTAAGCTACATTTACTGTATAACATTTTGACATGACGCCATCACACTGTTGGTGGGGATGATTAAACAAATTTTGATTAGTGTTTTACCATCTATACGATATTCCTAGAACACAGTTAAAATCTGAAAACAATCGGTTCGCAAATTTGGGAGACTATCTCTATAAAAATCGACACAGACAGACGATAGACATGCAGACGGAAAAGGAAAATCTACGTTTTCATTGTCTAGGGGTCATGAAACGTCGAAAAAACATAAAAATAACCTTCGACCAGAAAATAAAGAACACTCAATTGATCGCATGGGATTTTTTCGATAAGATTTTAGGTAAAACTGATGAAAGTCATATGGGATGATTGGTGTTTACGTCACCTGTCCAGAGACTTAAAATGACCTTCAATTGGCGCGAAGTCAAATTTTCTACAAGCAATACAAAAAAATATATTGATATAAAGTACTCCAAAAGCTATGAGGTTATATGACCATCATAAAATTATCCCATTGTGTCGAAGTTAAGTTGTTTACAATAGAAAAGAATTTAAGGTCGTAAATGACGTGTCAACTGCAGCTCGACCGGCTACTGTTGGTTCGTTCAGGGGTGGCTTTCACTAAATATCTTAACTACCTACTACTACCTGCAGCCACAAGGGGTTCCGAAATAACCAGTCGCTTTGAAAGCCGGCCCTGTTAAATGTGAGCAAGAAATGTTTAGAAAACGATTTATTGCCAACCGGTAAGCTTAGTACGAACCACACAAAGGAGGTATTTATTTGCGGTCAACTACTTTTATGATGGTCATATAACCTTATAACTTTTGGGCTACTATACATTCCCATTTTTCGAATATTAAAAAATTTTCAAATAATATTATTATCATGAAAAAAATCATGTGAAAAAAGGGTGGTGTGGAAAATCAGGGGAAATAGTTAATCGCTTGCAGTTTTTTCACATGTAATTTTCACTTATTTTCCCATGATTTCCTGTTGTATCGATTAATTAAATTATTTAATTATTTATATCCACCAGTTCAAAGCAAGCCAACTAAATTAATCACACAGGAACCAACAATAGAAATGGTCACCAACGAACAAAAATTTCCAGCTAAACAACAAAAGTGAAACGTCACATAATTAAAATTAATGATAAATGTAGCCATATGCAAATGAAAATCCTCGGTCGAATAAATCCACAAAATCGACATCGCTCAATTTGTTCATTCACCAGAAAGCAAAAACCTTGAAAATCGAGCAAATATTTTCATCGAAAGTGACACTTCCGAAACACGAAGCCACGAAAACGCAGTCCCGCAGCCCACGGCAGAAAATGCCGGTCCGGAATTCCACAAAAAAACCAAAAAACCCGCAATAAAACCAACCCAAACCCGGCCCTGGGTGCGGCAACGCACCCCTCGTCCAGCGCAAAAAAATCGCCCGCTCCGACCCTGTAATTTTGTCATAGACAGCCGTCAATCAGCGTGTACATTTCAAAAGTCTAGCTTCTCGCTCAAATTTATCTCTTTTTACAACAAAGACGCTGATAAAGTTGAAATGAAATAAGTGTAGAAGTAACAAAGAAAACCATTTACCTTTACTCTCTCGAGCGGTGTTTCCACAGAGACGCCAATATTCAATCGGCCGAAAATCACGCTTTTTCAATGCGAGCCATGCTTGTGGGGGGCGAACGGGCACGACGCGGACCAAATCTACTCGAAATCGCCGAAAATCGCGGAATTTTCCGCGGAAAACATGCTATTTTCACGAAAAACACTTTAGTCTATCTCACTTTAGAAAATGGCGGATAGAGCCATAGCCATCTTTGTTCCCCTCGCTCGGCACCCGGACGAATGACGTGCGCCTGCGCCGCCGTTCGACGGAGACGCTACATCGAAAGTTCGTCGAATCGGTGACGTTTTTTTATTATTTGTTTTGTTTGCCGAGTTAATGCATTTTTATTTTCGTTAAGTGATGCCGATAACGTAATTACGTGTACTGTTAGGTGGAGGGAGGCGTTTTTTGCGATAACGTCGATAGGTTACGTAATTATTATAATTAAATTGTTGTTGCATAATCTCCCTATAAATAGCCGCGATGGTAATCAAAGGCTAGGGTCGAATAAAATTTGCACTAATTTCGGACGAAAAATTATAAATAAATTTTGCGTCATCGCGCTGATAGCGAACGGGTTAATGTGAAGAAGCGGGTTAGGAGACCAGGAAGTCGTAGATAGCGGGAAATAAAAGGAAGAAATTATAAATGGAAACCGCTGGCCCCGGATAAATGTTCCGCATTTTTGTTTGTTCAATTTTGTTTCAATGAGTTGTTCACGGTTAAAAATAAACTCGCAAAAAACGGATTATTATGCTTATTTTTGACTTTCTTTCGTAGCTTTTTGGATAACAAATCTTTATATGTTATACAGAAAAACATAGGCGTATTTTTAAATTTTCATGGCCAGGTTTACCGTTTCCAATTAAATTTCAGGCTATATTTAGCGGGTGGAGATTACTGTCGTATTAATTATTGCTACAGCAATTAACCGTTATTCTGATAAGACTAACTATACAGACACGCAAGCGATGTGAACGGCCCTAAAAATAATAATTAATAACACATTCTAGTAGGTATTTATTTACTATTTAATGCCTTTCTTAAAAATACCATCGTACTACTTCAGTACTCATATGTCTATTATTATAGTTTTTAAAAATGGTATCGGACTGGTATCGTGATTAACACACCAGTGGCGTACTGTTTGTTTCTGACCTAGGACAAAAAGCTCAATGTACAAAAACTTAAATTTCGTTTTTAGACATCCTCAGTCCTTCAGTGAAACTTCATAATGTGAAAACATAGTGTTTTGTCAAAAACTTTAAACCTGTTATTGTGCTATCCAACCCCATATATCTAATTAGGTCATAAAGTTCGATATTCGATAGACTAAATAAAAAATGTGTGTTTCTCTCTTTTCACCTATAGATTTCAGTTTTCCAACTGAACGTTTTTACGTTTTTATTTTTACAATTTAAATTTTTTCAATTTTTTGATTTGCAATTTTTCTTTTTTTTCTTGAATTTTACGATTTTCCAATTTTTCAATTTTGCAATTTTGCAATTTTTGGATTTCTCGATTATCCAATTTTTCGATTTTTCTAATTTTCAATATTTCTTTTTCTGATTTTGCACATTTTCGATTTTGAAGTTTCTCACTTTAATCTTTCGATTTTGCAAGTTTTCGTTTCTTCAATTTTTCAAGTTCTTGATTTCCAAATTTTAGATTTCATTTTAACTTTTTTGTAATTTCGTTTTTGATTTTTAAATTTTACAATTTTGCAATGTTTCCATTTTTTATAAGAAAAGCTGAAAAATCGAAGAATTGAAAATCGAAAAACTGACAAAACGAGAAGTTGCACATCTATGAACTGGAACAACGGAAAATTGAAACATTGAAAAACTAAAAATAGAGAAACTTAAAAATCGAAAAAAATTAATGAATCGAAAAATTGAAAAATTGAATAAATGAAAGGGTTTAAAAATCCAATAATTGGAAAACGGAAAAATCGTAAAATTGAAAAAGAAACAATTTTTAAAATTGTAATTATTATATACTTTAAATGAAAACTAGAAAAATTGCAAATCAAAAGTTAAAGCAACGAAAAGTTGAACAATTGAATAACTGAAAAATGTAAAAGTTGAAAAATCGATAACTAAAACCCGAAAAATTAAGAAATCCAAAAATTGAAAAAATTTCACACTGAGTAAAAGAAACATCATAAAATCAGAGCACTGAAAAATCGAAAAATTGGAAAAATAAAGATAATAAACTCAACTGAAAAATTGAAAAATCCAAAAATTGAATAATTTAAAATAAAAAACTCGTGAAGTTATAAATCGAAAAAATGACGAAACAGAAACAAAGAAAAATCGAAGAATTGAAAAATTCAAGTCTAAAATGATGCGAGGGTTTTGTTTACGCCACTTTCTTCGATCTTTTAACTTTATAGAGGTTATCAAAAAATCAAAATCGCAGAATTTTTCAAAGAAGCGGGCGTAAAGTTTTCATTTTTTTTGTTTCTTCAGTTTTTCGATTTGCAATTTTCGAGTTTTCAAGTTTAAATTTTTCAATTTTTCAACTTATCCAACTTTTGAATATTTCAATTTTTATTTTTTCAATTTTTCGGATTTTCAACTTTTACATTTTTTAATTTCTCGTTTTCAAAATTTTTGATTTTTCGATTTCTCCATTTTTAGTTTTTCGTTTCTTCAACTTTAGATTCCAATTTTTTTAGTTTTCGTTTTAAATTTTTAGATTTTAGAATTTTTCCATTTTTACTTATTAAATTTTATAACTTTTTCCCTTATTCAATTTTTCGATCATGCAATGAATTTACAATTTTAACGTTTTTATAATTTTTCGATTTTATCTTTTTTTTCAAATTTTTCGATTAAATTCGTTTTTTCTTCTTTCCAATATTTCGATTCGATACGATTTTTTAAGTTTTTTGAATCTTAGTTTTTCAATGTTTCAATTTTTTCGTTTCTTCAGTTTGCCATTTTTCGATTTTGTTTTTTTTTTTATTTTTTCAAGTTTTAACTTTTTCAGTTTTTCATTTCTTCAATTTTTCGATATGCAATTTTTCGACTTTACAATTTTGACGGTTCTACAATTTTTCGATTTTACAATTTTTGGGTTTTCCAATTTTCCCATTCGATTCAATTTTTCTTCTTTCCAATCTTTCGATTCATTTTTTTTAAATCGTAAGTTTCTCGTTTAGTTTTTCATTGTTTCAGTTTTTTGTTTCTTCAGTTCTTCGATGTACAATTTTTCGATTTGGCAAATTTCTCGTTTTTCAGTTTTTCTATTTTCCAGTTGTTCGATTTTTTAAATTTTCGAATCAAGAAAATGGAAAAATTGAAAAATCAAAAATGAAAAAACGAAAAAGCACGAAACATCTAAAAATTGGAAAATAACTTGAAAAAATGAAGAAGCCAAAAATCGAAATCGAAAAATTAAAAATTGGGGAACTTAAAGATCGAAACAAATGATCGAATCGAATGATTGGAAAACCCAAAAATTGTAAAATCGAAAAATTGAAAAATAAGAAAATTCTAAAAATTGGAAAAACGAATAAATGAAAAGGTTTTAAAATCTAATAATTGGAAAATGGAAAAATTCTACAATCATAAAATTAAAAAAGTAAAGTATTTAATTTACATATTTTAAAATATAGGTATAGTTTAAATGAAAACTAGAAAAATTGCAAATCAAACGAAAAATTGAATAATCGAGGAACTGAAAAATCAAAAAATTGAAAAATTTCACACTGAACAAAAGAAAAATGATTGAAAAATCGAAAAATTGAATAAATAAAGAAAATCAAATACCGAAACGAAAAATTGAGGAAATGAAAAACTGAAAATTCCAAAAATTAGTAATTAAAAATTAAGAACTCGTGAAATTATAAATCGAAAAAATAGAGAAACAAAAAAAAATAAGAATTGAAAAATTCAAGTCAAAAAATCTTCAGGACTTTTATTTTACGCCACTGGTTTTAACTTTATAGAGAAAACAAAAATCGCAAATTTTTATATAATAATTTTTCAAAGAAGCGGGCGTACACAACGAGCAATTTTTCAAGTTTTCAAAGTAAAATTTTTCCGTTCTTCAATTTTCCAACTTTTGAATATTTCAATTTTTAGATTTTTGTAGTTTCACCAGTTTTCAATTTTAATTTTTTCAATTTTTCGGTTTTCCAACTTTTGGATTTTTTAATTTTTCGTTTTTTAAATTTTTTATTTTCAGTTTCTCGATTTTTCAAATTTTCGTTTCTTCAAGTTTGGATTTTCAATTTTTTTAGTTTTCGTTTTAAATTGTTAGATTTTAGGATTTTTTCAGTTTTTCGACTTTACACTTTTGACGATTCTATAATTTTTCGATGTTGTCTTTTTTTTTCAAATTTTTCGAATAAATTCGTTTTTTCTTCTTTCCAATTTTTCGATTCGATGTTTTAAATTTCTCGAATTTTAGTTTTTCAATGTTTCAATTTTTTCGTTTCTTCAGTTCTGCCATTTTTTGATTTTGCTTTTTTTTTTCTTTATTTTTTTTTTTTAATTTTTAAATTCTTCAATTGTTACGTTTTTCAATTTATAATTTTTCGTTTCGGTTTTTTCTATTTTTCCATTCCATTCATTTTTTCTTCTTTCCAATCTTTCGAGTCATTTTTTTTTATTCTAAATTTCTCGTTTAGCTTGTCATTTTTTTTAGTTTTTTGTTTCGGTTTGGCAATTTCTCGTTTTTTCAGTTTCTCTTTGTTTCAATTTTTCCGATTTTTTAGTTTTTTCATTTTTCAATTGTTCACTTTTTCAACTTTTCGAATGAAGAAAATGGAAAAATTGAAAAATCAAAAACGAAAAATGAAAAAGCATAAAATTAAAACTTTGAAACATCTAAAAATTGGAAATTGAGAACTTGAAAAAATGAAGAAGCGAAAAATCGAAATCGAAACATTAAAAATTGAGAAACTTAGAGATCGAAACAAATTAACGAATCAAAAGATTAGAAAATCCAAAAACTGTAAAATCAAAAAACTGAAAAACTGGAGAATTCTAAAAATTCTACAATCGTAAAATTTAAAAAGTAAAAAAAAGAAAAACTGTAATTATTATTATATATTTTAAATGAAAACTAGAAAAATTGCAAATTAAAAGTTGAAGAAACGAAAAATTGAGCAATCGAGAAACTGAATAATCTAAAAATTGAAATATTTCACACTGAACGAAAGAAAAATTATAAAATCAGAGCACTGAAAAATCGAAAATTGAAAAAATAAA